GCGTGGGCAGTGGAAGAAGCCACAGTTGCCAGCCGTTTAGATATCCAGGCAATTGGACAACCCAGATGAAGAATGATTAATCCGTAGGTGGACCGAGAGAACTCACCCCCCCAGTTTGCATCAACGTATGACAATAGATGAGGACTCGATTTCTTCGGATACAGTAGAAGGGCCTGGTCTTTCGTTTCCGCCAGGTAATTCACAAGAGTCCTCGCTCCATTCCAATGTGCAGTAGAAGGCTGCTTCGCGAAACGCGCAAGAAAGTTGACAGCAAAACAGATGTCAGGTCTGGTCCCAACCGCGAGGTAGCTTAACATCCCGATCAAAGATAAGTATCCAGAGGGATCAATACCTGCTTCCCCTGTAGCTGTTAAAGGGAGGTTGCCGACTGGTAAAGGTGTTCGGCTGGTTGAAACACCATCCCAGTGTTCGCTAAGGATTTTTGCGACTAGCTTTGGTTGGGACAGAACAAAACCGGACTGGTCCCTAACAACGGACAGCCCAACGATGTCAGTAAGGGACGACTCCCACTTGATCTGAAGCACAGCTGACAGGTCTTGCTGGAGCTTGCGTAGCACTTCTTCTGTTGGCGCCGTCACGATCCCGTCGTCCACATGGACCCAGATTGATCCCCCCCCATTCTCTGGTTCTACCAAATACAAGCTGGAGTCGTATCGCGACGCTTTGTATCCGAGGCGGTCCAAAGTACCGGCCAAGTGGTGCCACCAGCATCGCGCGGCCTGCTTGGTCCCGTACAGTGCTTTCTTCAGGTGGCACGCCGTCCCCGGGGGAGAGTTTAAGACCTCCGGCGCTGCAACCCAAAGGTCTTCGTCGATCGGTGAGTTCAAATAGGCTGCAACAAAATCAAACGAATGAACAGGCCAATTCCGGGCAGCAGCGTATGACAGTAGTAGACGCATAGAAATGAACGTAGCAGTCGGCGCAAATGTCTCACTGTATTGGATCCCCGCCACTTGAGAATAACCCCGCGCCACGTAGCGGGCCTTATAACGATTAATGGAACCGTCCGAGTTGAGTTTCTTGGCGAAGACCCATTTCGCCGTCATGACCTTTGTCCCGACAGGCACTGACTTCACTTCCCAGACCCCCAGTCGATCCAGATTGGCCAGCTCTTCTTTGATCGCGGCCAACCAGGACTCCTTCTCCGGACTGTTTAGGGCCTGTCGATAGGTGCTAGGGATGCCTGCCGCGGAAACTTCCGGAACCGATAAAGAGACAAAATTTACTAACTGATCTTGAGCGTCCGCCGCCTCCTCGTCGCGGAAATCACCGATGTTTGGACGGTCCATGGTTGCTAAGGAGAAATGAGGAGATATGATTTGAGGGGGTGTAGGGTGGTGCCGGAAACTTGCAATGTTGGAATTAGCGAAAGTGTTTGAATGGGGGAGCCAAAAGCACCAGCCTTTGGATTCAGGCAAGACCGCCACGACATAGCCGGGTGTGGCACGTTCGTCTAGTTTCTTTCGTTTTTCCGCGTCCACATGTACGTACGCCAGATCCCCAAACACTCGAGTCATTTCAAAAGTAGGTTTAGACCCAAAAAAACGTTCGTGCGGCGTAACATCACCACTCGTCCCGTTCGGTATCCGGTTAAGAATGTAGCATGCCCAAGTGAATGAAAAAGACCAGAAAGATTTGGGCAATCCACTGCCTAGCAACAGAGTGCGGCCCATGTCCTGCAGCGTTCGGTTGAAACGCTCGACCAGCCCGTTTTGATAGTGGTGATAGGCAATGGCCCTCTCAGTTCTGATCCCTTTTTGTCGCAGGTAATCGGCGAGGGCGTTGTTATTGAATTCCCCCCCATTGTCCGAGCGGAGCGCCTTCAGGGGCTTACCGGTCTGGCGTTCCAGACAGGTGATGGTATCGATCAGGAGATTAGTCGCCTCAGATTTGAAACGCATGACCTTTACCTCGCCATAGCCCGAACCAACATCCCTGATTGTCAGAATATATTTACCTCCCCCCGTAGCCTCAACTTCGAAAGGGCCGATAAGGTCCACATTCCATAAATCCATGGGCAAAAATGTGCGCTGGGTGGAGGTAAGAGAATGTTTGTGAATACTCTTCGCAATCATACATGTGGGGCAGTGAATCTGTCCCGAGGGCAGAGACTTTGGTAAACCAAGGCCCACTTGGCACTTGATCATACGCCTGATGACCCGAAGACTGACATGTCCAAGGCGCAAATGGATCAAGAGCAGTTCGCGCTCGTCAGCAGTGAGCTTAGGGTCAGAACCCGGCAGCCTGACCGCCTCAGGGACATTGTAAACGAAGGGCGCTTCATTCTCTTGTTCAGCAGCGCTAGCACCGACAACGGTTGGAAGGGAGGGAGAAGTATGCACAGTAGTTAAATGGTGGGAAGAAGAAACAGTAACAGGCTTGACAGTAGAGACAGTAGGGGTGGGAGAAGTATGTACAGTAGGTAAATGGGGGGAAGAAGAAACAGTAACAGTTTTGACAGTAGGGACAGTAGAGCAGACATCAGGTGAAGGAGAAACAGTAGAAACAACAGGAAGAGGTGCAGGGAAAAGCCACTTGCGGCTGCGGGGGTTCAAAACGCTCTTAGCCCAAAAAACACGGCCTGAAAAAATGTTAAAAGAATCGTCGCGGCAGTCGTATGACATCGTAAAACCAGCGAGCCTCAAAGCCGCAGGGGAAATGAGGGTGTTGGTGGCATCGGGACAGTAGAGCACACCTCTAAGCGCGATAGTCGTTGAACTCGGACCACGGAAAAACAGAGTCCCTACTGCAGTAATGAAATGGGAAGAGGTATTAGTCGCTACTTTCAAAGGAATGGGTTTGGACAGTAGCTTTAGATGATGAAGGGCTGACTTGTCACCACTCAAGTGGTGAGTGGCCCCAGTATCAAATAAGGCTTCGGGAGGGGGGGACGGGAACTGAAATTCCGCGTTACGGGCATCGGGAGGAGGACCCGGCACATCCTCATATTCCATTGCCTCATCCGGAGCCCCAGTCTCATCGGTGTCACCGACCTCGGCCTGGCGGGCAGTCGGCCGCCCTCCTCCGCGACGGTAGTCGGGCCGATAGGAGTCGGCTGGCCGAAGACCTGATTGGTTGGGCCGCGCGGGGGGAGCAGCGGGCCGTGTTGGAGGCGGTGGACGATACCCCGTTGGCGGAGTGATGATTGGGTAGTGGGCCGTGAATTGGTCCGGATGAGCTTGATAGCTGTGGGATTGGGGTTGGCGAGGCTGACGGGGCGGTTCGGTACATTCAGCAATCTGATGAGAAGTAGAACCGCAGCGAAAACAGGTCCGGAGGCGATTCTCAGAGCGGCGCTCGGGGCGCCCTGCCAAACCGTAGACGTTACCGGGATGGCTTTCAATGGAGGAACGCCGTTGCATAGTGGTATCCGTCGCCATCATCTGTGGGGCCATGTCCCGTTGTCGGTCCCTTGCGCGGACATTCAACCGGGAGATACTGGCAGCCAAAAGGTCGATGACCCGGTCGAAAAACCATGAGCAGCATTGTTGTTCCAGGAGGAACTCCATGTCCATGCGCTGGTCAAATTCGTTCCGGAGATCCGTCCCATGGGGAATAGAGGACTGAAGAATGAGACCAAGGATGGCGTCTCGTGAAAGAGGAATCCCGGAAGCCAAAAGATCATCGAAGCGGGACCGGTAAAGAGAGGACACTTCGTTAGCATTGGTGTCCGCAGTGATGGCTAAATGAAAAAGGTCCCTCCAACGGGACAGCTGTGTCGCCCTGCTGATAGTGCCAAATCGGCCCTTGATGGCCCTCAACATTGCGTCGCTCCGAGTAAAATCGTAGAGATCGAAGCGGATGGAGGTGTCAACAGAACCAAGAAGAATGCCCCGTGCCGCGCGTTCAAGGGGGTGGCCACGGCGATCCGACACAAAAAAACGTTCATCCCGAAGAAAAGAAAATGCCACCTCCGTAAGTTCCCGAAGCCAGACCCTATAATTGCTCCCGTCAGAACGAAGGTAGTTGTCTGAAAACCTGGCGGTGCCATCACGAATCAGAGCCGACTCGGTCCGGTGATCGATGCTGGGGGGAAGAGGACCGGGAGGAGGCGGGGGAACATCGTTGGCATCGCCGTCGCCCACAGCAGGTTGGCTGATGAAGGTCTCGTCATGCTCGTCGTCCGAGATATGGCGGGAAGCAGCTTGGCGGCGAGCACTGGCACGGGTAGTGACACCAGGAGGGGGAGTACGCTGGAGAGACATGGCGATGGAAGAGAGGATCGAAAGAATAGAAGGAAAACGGTGCGAAAGAAGACGAAGGAGGGATGGGAAAAATAGGAACACGCAAAGGAACAAAACAGTGACAAAAATTTGCGAAAGAATCGGTGATAAAGCGGTGACACAGGAAAAAAATATTGGATGAAGAGTATAGGGAAAAAAAAGGAAGATGGCGAGTTGATATAGAAAACACCAAACACACAGCAAGGTTAAGATAGAGCCGCCAACAGAGCAGGAATAACCGACACGCGTAGAACCGAGGAGAAAAACAAGCACCCGAAGAGATAAGAGTAGCCGAATCGACGAGGAGAAACAAACAAAACACACGCCTACAGTAAGGCAGACACTAATCACACAAAATTGTAACACGCTACACTAGCTCGAAGCCACACAGGCACACCAAAAAAAAACCACACAGATAAGGAGATTCACACTGGACACGCACGCCACACAGGCTTTTATTGAAGGAAAAAATTAAAAAACGATGCCTCCTAACAAGTAGCAGAGAGGCTCATAACCTAAAGAGGCACGAGTATGTAAGTACGAGTAAGAAAGCTAAGAGATGGATTGCATAGCGAGAAAGAGACATAATCTTGTGGAGAAATACATGCTTATTTATACTACAAGATTATGTAAGAGAAACTAACTCGTGAGAAACAGAAAGTGTGAGAAACTAGTGTCATTGGGATTGTCGTTCGAGACAGTCGTGAAAGAGGTTCATGACGTCTTATGTAGTGATACATAATATTATGTAATTCGCTACAACAGAGCTAAACCTCGCTTAGATACCTTGCTGAAGAAGATCTTGGATAGTTTGAAGATTGGTAATGTTAACTTGGCTAGTTGAATGACTGATTGACCGAGGAATTTTTCCTTCAAAGCTTGTTCGAGATTCAGTCGATTGATCATTGACAGATTGAGGTTCTCAATGATAGACTGTAGTTGATTTTCTATGGCAAGTCTACTACTTTTCCATAAATCTTGAGCGATCACCAGTTCAGATGCTTGTAAACAGTTGGCCATTTTCTTGATCGTATCCAAGGCACCCAAAACGGCCACATGTAAAGATTTATCAAGAGACTCTATCTCTGGCGAACCGGGGATGGATGGTGCTGATGAAAGCTCCATCTTTTGGATGAGCTTATCGGCCGCCTCAAATATTTCACACATTCGCCAGGGTAACACTAATTCGACGTTGGCTTTCAGCCGGTAGAGTCTGCAGGATTTGAATCGTTCAAGACCATGGTCATCCGTTCGATGTGGTTGAGTTGCAGGGTCTGGACATAAGGTGGCAGTGAGATATTTGATTTGATCCAAGCTGTCATCGAGTTCTGCTTGAGTCTGCAAGACGAGACTAAGCTTTGGCCTTGGTTGATTTCGTAAACCAGCGGGGTCTAGTGCTTGGAAGAGAGTGTTGATTTGGCCTTGCAGGAGAGGCAGGAGGCTAGATTGCAGCTGATCCACAAGAGCTTCCTGTGTTTGGACGGTGTCAAGAGAGAGTGCTGCCAGTGTGTTTTCGATGTAGGTTAGGTCAGGGAGCTCTGCCGTCCTTGAATGATATTTACTTTGCAGACGTCTGAAGCCGTAAGAAACTAGATCTGCAAAGGAGAATGGAAAAGATTTCAGTTCTATCAAGTTGACGTGGTGGAGCTCTTCAAGAACATGATGGATTTGTACAAACCTCCATAGTGCCAACAAAGCCTTTGATGTTCCAGTTTGCTTGAAGAAGTTTTCTGGGCTGGTTGGGCTCTCCCAGTACAGATGTACAAATTGACAATGGGTGTACAGTGGGTTGACAGAAAAAATGGAACCCCCCAACACTGAATTTTGGGGGGTTTTCAATGTTTTTTTTTTTTTTTTTTTTTTTTTTTGGAATGTGGGACATTGAGGGGCTGGGAAACTAACTGTGGGGACAGTTTTGTTTCATTACAGAAGAAAAAAGTTACAATTAAAAAGAAAAACTGGAATTTTTCAAATTTTTTAATAAGGCCAGGAAATATAAAAATGTCAAAAAATAAGGGCTTGAATAAAAAAAAAAGTTTTTCTGTGTTTTGACGTGGTTTGTGCTGCACGCAGCAGACACAGTTTCTGCGTTTGGACGTGTTTTTTGTGTTCAATTTTTTGACCTTATTTTTCATGTTTTTTTTTTGGCCTTAATAAAAAACGCGGTTTTTCCGTGTTATATAGCATGTAATTTTTCTTGATTAACTCATCCGGCTTGACTTATAAAAGAGACTGAGAAGTTTTGTACGGTTTGTTTCTTCCAAGACTCATGTTTCTTCCTCTCAGTCTTTTATTCAATATTCTTTTTTTATTCAAATTAAACTCAACCACATTTCTGACACTTGTATCTAGTTTATTTAAACCTGGCTTCTTACTTGTGAATGAAAACTCATTGGTCCTTACACTCTTTTTCTGTGAACCTTTCCCAAAAAATAAGATCCTCATTTTTGGCCCTCCACCTCTTACGCGCACGAGTCTTAAAATTTCAACAGAACCAGTCATTAACTGGAAGGCAAGGGGGCCGATTCAGACTCCTTGCAGTTCCAGCTACTCCCCAATTCAATAACATCTTTTTCTTGAAAGAGAATCAAACATGCCCTTCAAATTGAAAACAACACCAATCTCAGTGATGAGTGCTTGTGAACAAAACTTGAAAAAATCTAAGGAGAACAACACACTAAATTCATTCAGAAGGGAGAGGAAGCCAACAGCAAGAAGAAGGGGAAAAAAACAATGTCAAGGCCTGGCATTTGTATATGACTTGGCAGCAAGTGTGAAATTATGGATAGCTAAAGACATGTGAGTATTCCAAGTTACACACCAATCCTGATAATGTTTTTGACGATGAAGACCCTCGGTATCAGGAATCAAAGGAATAAAGTGCAGAAGTACGAGAAACAAAGGGGACTCGAAGTTTTCTTTAAGTGTTTCAGCTGCTGCGATGACCTGGTTACTACATCCATAACGTCGATTAGCACAGTCTAAAAAGGTCTCGATTTCATGAAGACGTTCGGCCACACTATTGACAGATTCAGCAATAATGTCAATTTGTTCCGAACTGATTTCTGTATGAATCGGAATCCGTTCGCGGGCCAACCCTCGTTCGGACAATTTGGCGAAGAAAATCTTGGACAGTTTGAAGATTGGGAGGCTTAATCTAGCTAATTGAATGACTGATTGGCCGACAAAGTGGTCGGACTTCCGCTTTAAACGTGTTGATCGATCGAGTTTCTCGAGGATATACCGATGTTGTTCCTCTATCTCAAGTCGTATATCTCGCCATGAATGTTGGGCAATGGCCAGTTCAGATGCTTGGAAACAATCTGCGATCGACTGGATCGTATCCAACGTACCACAAACGGTCCGATCCAACGATTTCTTAAGAGAGTCTATGTCTGAGCAGCTGGAGTTAGAAGGTGCAGACGAGAGCTCCATCTGTTTGATGATGTTATCGGCGGTTTCAAAGATCTCGCAGATCTGCTCGGACAGGATTCCTTCGAAGTTCGTTCTGAGACGGCAGAGTCTGTAGGATTTGAACTCTTTGAGATGGTTGTCATTCATACTGTGCGGTCATCGCTTTCTTTAGGATGGCTGCTTGCTCTTCTTCCTCCGACGGGTCCTCAATTTCTTCGAGTATTCTCTTCTGGCCCGTGACTCCTTTTTTTGGATTGCCTAAATGGACAGAGGTCGTCTCAGCCCTCTCTTACTTTTCCCGGGGGTTTTTTTTTTTTTTTTTTTTTTTTTGCATACCTTTGGTAGGGGCTGCTCTTAGCAGTCCCAGGACCTCTGTTGGGTCTTCGTTGCTCTCCTCCTCGTCTTGAGAGTCCTCTCCATCGGGGTTAGAGGCGCTTTGGTTTTTCTCCGCAATCGTCGAGAGTCTAGACTTTTTTGCCGAGGCAATGGTACGGCCTGACGGGCCCTTCTGCGCTTGTTGGATTTTGGGGGTTAGGGAGTTCGTGACTTCGGCGTCGTTTGTTCCTCCTCTCCCTGATTTGGGCCCGCTGTTTGGGTTGTCTGTCTCCATTTGAGATTCCTGTCAAGTCATGAGGGATGGGGGTTATGTGTCAGGGAATGAAGTGTGGGCAGCGAATCCCTGTAACAGGCATTGTTGGAGGTGTTGGGAACGTACGATTTAATTTGGAGATTTCTCTCTTTCTTTTATTTTATTTCCGATAGTTGCGTGTTTAGGTTCGGACGTCTTCCTTTGTCTCCTGTAGTGTAGGCATGAAGCATGTTAGTTTGGAGTCCGGTTATTCTCGTTCTTATTTCCAGTAGCTAAAAGGCGTACCTGGTCTGGTGTTTGATTCCCGTTTGCTATGTAGAGCAGTGTGGTTCGGGTTTTGGTTTGTTTAGTTCTGGTTTTGGTTTGGAAATTTGGGTTTGGTGGGGTTGGTTCTGGATGAGGAAAGTGGAAAAGGTGTGATGAGTGAAAGTGTGAAAGTAGGAAAGGTGTGTTTGAGAGAAAAGTGTGTCGAGTTTGACTAGAAACAGAAAAAAGGGATCTCCCGGAGGCGGAGATATCAGCGGCTAGCGGAAACTACGCGGGACAGGGGACAGCTGAGGAGTGGATCTGTAGCCTAGGTAGGATCCATCCTCCTCAGTCATCTCCTGGCTCCGACCAGAGAGGTATGAGACTGCGGGGGATTGGTGTAGCGCAGGCGTGCAAACCTAGTCTATCCGCCCGGCTGCGCCGGCCCGCTCTGGTCGTCGCCGCGGTAACCTGCTACCGCTACATGGACGCCGGTGAACTCTGTGCTGCGCCCCGCCGTACACCTCCCATGAAAGCTCCATCTTTTGGATGAGCTTATCGGCCGCCTCAAATATTTCACACATTCGCCAGGGTAACACTAATTCGACGTTGGCTTTCAGCCGGTAGAGTCTGCAGGATTTGAATCGTTCAAGACCATGGTCATCCGTTCGATGTGGTTGAGTTGCAGGGTCTGGACATAAGGTGGCAGTGAGATATTTGATTTGATCCAAGCTGTCATCGAGTTCTGCTTGAGTCTGCAAGACAAGACTAAGCTTTGGCCTTGGTTGATTTCGTAAACCAGCGGGGTCTAGTACTTGGAAGAGAGTGTTGATTTGGCCTTGCAGGAGAGGCAGGAGGCTAGATTGCAGCTGATTCGCAAGAGCTTCCTGTGTTTGGACGGTGTCAAGAGAGAGTGCCGCCAGTGCGTTTTCGATGTAGGTTAGGTCAGGGAGCTCTGCCGTCCTTGAATGATATTTACTTTGCAGACGTCTGAAGCCGTAAGAAACTAGATCTGCAAAGGAGAATGGAAAAGATTTCAGTTCTATCAAGTTGACGTGGTGGAGCTCTTCAAGAACATGATGGATTTGTACAAACCTCCATAGTGCCAACAAAGCCTTTGATGTTCCAGTTTGCTTGAAGAAGGTTTCTGGGCTGGTTGGGCCATTGGAGTTCTTCCAGTACAGATGTACAAATTGACAATGGGTGTACAGTGAGACTGAGAAGTTTTGTACGGTTTGTTTCTTCCAAGACTCATGTTTCTTCCTCTCAGTCTTTTATTCAATATTCTTTTTTTATTCAAATTAAACTCAACCACATTTCTGACACTTGTATCTAGTCTATTTAAACCTGGCTTCTTACTTGTGAATGAAAACTCATTGGTCCTTACACTCTTTTTCTGTGAACCTTTCCCAAAAATAAGATCCTCATTTTTGGCCCTCCACCTCTTACGCGCACGAGTCTTAAAATTTCAACAGAACCAGTCATTAACTGGAAGGCAAGGGGGCCGATTCAGACTCCTTGCAGTTCCAGCTACTCCCAATTCAATAACATCTTTTTCTTGAAAGAGAATCAAACATGCCCTTCATCTCATGAAATAGAAACAACACCAATTTCGGTTATGAGTGCTTGTGAACAAAACTTGGAAAAATTTATGGAGAACAACACACTAAATTCATTCAGCAGGGAGAGGAAGCCAACAGCAAGAAGAAGGGGGAGAAAAATGTCAAGGCCTGGCATTTGTATAGGACTTGGCAGCAAGTGTGAAATTATGGATAGCTAAAGACATGTGAGTATTCCAAGTTACACACCAATCCTGATAATGTTTTTGACGATGAAGACCCTCAGTATCAGGAATCAAAGGAATAAAGTGCAGAAGTACAAGAAACAAAGGGGACTCAAATTTTCCTTTAAGTATTGCAGCTGCTGTGATGACTTGGTCACTACGTCCATTACGTCGATTAGCACAGTCTAAAAAGGTCTCGATTTCATGGAGACGTTCGGCCACACTATCGACAGATTCCGCGATGATGTTGATTTGATCCGAACTGATTGCTGTATGAATCGGATTGCGTTCTCGAGTCAAGCCTCGTTCGGAGAATTTGGCGAAGAAGATCTTGGACAGTTTGAAGATTGGGAGGCTTAATCTAGCTAATTGAATGACTGATTGGGCAACAAAGTGGTCGGACTTCCGCTTCAAACGTGTTGAGCGATCGAGTTTCTTGAGAATAGACCGGTGTTGTTCCTCTATCTCAAGTCGTGTATCTCGCCATGAATCTTGGGCAATGGCCAGTTCAGATGCTTGGAAACAATCTGCGATCGACTGGATCGTATCCGACGTGCCACAAACGGCCAGATCCAACGATTTCTTGAGAGAGGCTATGTCTGAGCAGCTGGAGTTAGAAGGTGCGGACGAGAGTTCCATCTGTTCGATGATGTTATCGGCCGTTTCAAAGATCTCGCAGATCTGCTCGGACAGGATTTGTTCGAATTTCGTTCTGAGACGGCAGAGTCTGTAGGATTTGAACTCTTTGAGATGGTTGTCATCCGTGCATTTTGGCATAGATTGAAGATTGGGACAGAGGGTGGCAACCAAATATTTGATTTGATCCAAGGTACAATCGAGTTCCGCTTGGATCCGTAAGATGAGAGCGAGCTTTGGGGCTGGATCATCTCGTAAGCCGGAGAGGTCTAGTGCTAGTGAGAGAGAGTTGATTTGGCCTTGGAGGAGAGGCAGAAGGCTAGATTGCAGCTGATCCACGAGACCCAGCTGCGTCTTCACTCTTTCGATCGAGGAATCAGCTGCGAGTGCGTTGTCGATATTATAAGCCGTTGATGGATGATATTCACTCCGCAGACGTCCAAAGCCGCAAGCAAGTAGATCTGGCAAAGAGAGTTGAGCAGATTTCAGTTTTTACATAGTCGATGGCAGTAGTTGTGTTGGTCATACCTCCATAGTGCCAACAATGCCTTTGGTGTTCCAGTTTGCTTGATGGGGGTTTCCTGACTGATTCGGCCATGAGACTTCTTCCAGTGGTAATTAGTGTCTGTATGTGAAAAATGTCAAAAAAAAGTACACTACGCGGGGGTGCTTTTAAGGTTTTGCTCCGAAAGAGTTTCGAAACATGAAGTTCGAAGCGGCTTTCGTAAAACTTTCGAAATGTTTACGAAAGTTCCGCAAAAAATATCGAAACGATTCCGATATTTTGTGTTTAAGGTTTTGGTCTGACACATTTCCGGTTTTTATGCGGATTGTGCCGGATCAAAACCTTAAAAGCAACTTTTGAAGCTGTCTTCGAAAGACGTTTTGATATAAGTTGGCGTCTTTCGAAAACGATTCCGAAAGGTGTTCGGAAGGTGTTCGAAAGGGAGAGGTCTCGACCATCCCGTCTTCAGATTAAAAGGACAACCTCTGCTGGCTCCCCTTCCACCTTCGCCAAACCTCTTCTCCATCTCTTCTGCATCATCCGACTCCTCCTCGTGTTTTTCTTTAGCAGAGTATCCCCTCAATCACCTCACCAAGATTCAAAAAACTGTCCGTTGCTTGATTTCTCATTCCTCGTTGTTCTCTCTGCTACCTTCACACAAGCCCCTCCAGTACTACTGCTGTTTGCTTGGTCCAGCGTACCTGCCGAATTTGATCAATCATCTACAACTGCTAGCTGCTATTGCTCTGTTGCTTACAGCGCCACTTGTGAAAACACACCCATCCGATAACTTATCATGTATTAGCTGCCTTGTATTTTTCTGCTTCTCTTCTTTTTCTTTATTCAGACCCCTCATTACTGTTTTCTTATCCTTTCTTTCATTTCATTCCAATCAATCGATCGATCATAGTGAAACGTTGATGGGATTTTTTTTTCTTTTTCTTTTGTACGGAGTTGTTATTTCTTTTCTCTATCATACATAGCAGAAATACAAAATCATGAAACTCAGAGATACATGATTGAGAATGAACGATGAGTAGAATGTCCCAATAGAACGGCACAACCCTTATAAGGGACAAGGGTGCCGATCCAAAAGCCAGCCGAGAGTGCCACTGCAGGACTATCACAGTTCGGAAAAGGTTTCGAAACCTCCCAATTATTACGGAAGTTCTTCGAAACTCTTTCGGGATCATTCCGAAGTAGCCCTTCGGAGTCGATTTCGAAAGCACGGAGTTTCGTAAGTACTTCGAAAAAATTTCGAAAAGGTATCGGACGGTCTTCAAAAGACCATCGGAATGCCTTTCGCAACGCATTGCGAAATGTACCTGGACCAAGGTCCAGGACGTCGCCCCCTGCGGGCGCATGTTTCGCAACATTTCCGAACGAACTTCGGAAATGTTTCGAAACCGAGCACCCGTAGTGTAAGTATGTAGCATTGTGTGGCCGGGCGGCTGGCGCGACCGTCCCGGACTCCCGCAACGGCGATCGGGGTGTCTTGACCGCGTCTATCCGGCTTAAGCCCTCCCGGCGAGAAGGTGAAAGTTTCCCTCAAAGTAGAGAACACTTAGACGATTTCTGGGGTGCTTCAACCATTGCAAATGCTCTTGAAGGGTTTTTTTTTCACTCACTTTATACAGGTTGACCAGTAGAAATCTAGGCTGGCTTTGCAATCATCCTGTTCTGGATTTTGAGAAAAGATTGAACATCATCCTAGAATTTTGAGGCAAATGAAGTAATTATGATCCTGAGAGTGCAAATTCATCTTTCAAATTTGACAATGACAGTCAGTATCCTCAAGAATTGTTGGGATTTGTCTCTTCTTCTCATCCCTAAAAAACTCATCTATCTCACTGTTAAATTAATAATGAATTGATAAATAAAATACATGATCTTTACATTGTTTTTTGTTGGTTTTTGCATGGTATCTTGTCAAATTTTCTAGTGCTGAAATCCTTGTAATCTTTGAACCCTGGGCTACATAGTCTTTATCAATTGTCATTTGCTCCAACTATCCTTCCAAGCATATGTTAATCTTTATTATAATTCATTTTGATATTCAATTTTTCTCAACCCCAGATTGAACTTGTTCTACTAGCAAATAACAAATCATTGGCTCTTACACTCTTTTCCCAACCCTTGAGTCATTCCAACAAAAATTCAATTTTTGTGGCCCAAAAAGTTTTCTCTCCTCAAAAAATTCTCCGCCTCTTTGGTTTAAATTTCTTCAAGAATGGATCAACTACTTCACAGATATGCAAGACATTCAAGAAGGCAGATCCCAACAGGATTTTCCAAAAACAAGAAAAAACATCCAGATTCTGGACTTTTGGAAAGAATATCATCCAAAGGAAACTGATCAATCACAAAAATCAAACAAAGCTTTTCTTTCATTTTAGTAGTCTTGTTTTCCAATCAGTTTTGGGTTATTTTTTATATTGGGATCTGGTTTGTGTTTACTCTGAGACAAGAAAAGAATTGATTTTCTTGTTTTTAGTGGGGTCAAGCTAGTGCTCTTGATAGGTTAGAAAATCACTTGGCTCTAATGGGCTTCTCATTTGTGACAACAGGAAAGTAGCACAGATGCATGCCAAGTGTTCACCACAGCTGTTTATAAGGGACCCAGTTGATGACTAGAAGGCCGTAGCAACAATTTGGCTCTAGTGAGTTCCAGCTAGTACTGCTCATTCGATAATGTCTTTTTTTTGCTTCTTTTTTTTTCTTGAAGAAAATCAACAAAAAAAAGTCATACAGAAGGGAAAGAAAATTAAGATCACAAGGAAGAAAAAAAAGAAAAAAACGACGTGTATCAAGGTATATCATCTGTGTATGTTTTAGCCACAAGTGTGAAGTTGTGAATGGCCAAAGCCATATGATTATTCCAAGTGACACACCAATTCTGATAATATTTTTGAAGTTGAAGACCCTCGGTATCAGGAATCAAAGGAATAAAGTACATGGATACCAGAAGCAACGGGAACACGAAGCAATTTTTGAGTGATCCAGCTATTCTGACGAAATCTTCACTTCTGGCATCTCCATCACGTTGGTTAGCAGAGTCGAGATGAAACTTGAGTTCACGGAGATCTTCAGCCACATGTTCAACAGATGCAGCGAGAATGCTGATTTGTTCGGAACTGATCTCCGTATGAATCGGAAGCCGTTCTTGAGTCAACCCTCGTTTCGATAATTTGGCGAAGAAAATCTTGGACAGTTTGAAGATCGGGAGAGTCAATTTGGCTAATCGAATGACGGATTGGCCGGCAAATCGGTCAGAGAACTGCTTGACATTCCCTGTCGTATGTGTGGATGGATTGAGTTCCTCGAGGATAGACTGGTGCAGCTTTTCTATCTGTAGTCTATGATGTCGCCATAAATCTTGGGCAATGGCCAGTTCAGATGCTTGGAAACAATCAGTGATCGACTTGATCGCATCCGACGTACAACAAACGGTCCGATTCAATGATTTCTTGAGAGACTCTATGTCTGACCAGCTGGAGTTAGAAGGTGCGGCCGAGAGTTCCATCTGTTGGATGAGGTTATTGGCCGTTTCAAAGATCTCACAGATCCGCCATGACAGGATTCCTTCGAACTTCATTCTGAGACGGCAAAGTCTGTAGGATTTTAATCCTTTGAGATCGTGGTCATCCGTCCGATTTGACATAGATTCCCGATCTGGACAGAGGGTGACAACCAGATATTTGATTCGATCCAAGCTGTAATCGAGTTTCGCTTGAATCTGTAAGACAAGAGCGAGCTTTGGAACTGGATCATTTCGCAATCCGGGCAGATCTAGTGCTTGCAAGAGAGAGTCGATTTGGCTTTGTAGGATAGGCAGAAGGCTAGATTTCAGCTGATCGGTGAGACCCTCCTGGGTTTCAACTCCATCAATAGAGAGAGCTGCCAGAGCGTTTTCGATATACGTTGGGTCAGGGAGCTCAGCTGTTCTCCTATCATATTTACGTTGCAGACGTCTGAAGCCGTAAGCAACTAGATCTATAAAAGAGAATAGGGAAGCGTTGAGTTCTGATATATCAAGTTTACATAGTGGAGGGGTTTGGGAATCTGGATTTGTACATACCTCCATAATGCCAACAAAGCCTCTGGTGTTCCAGTTTGCTTGATGGAGGTTTCCGGGATGGCTTGGCCATTGGAGTTCTTCCAGACGAATTTTCCAATTTCTTATTTGTCATGTGCCAGCATGAAGCTATCCAATTCCCCGGTCAGGGGTCGGGGGACTAGCCCGACGGGGACCCCTCGTTTCTCCCAGGACGTCTCCACCCCAAAAACTTGAACCTTGGTCCTTGGGTGTTGTTTCTCCCATTCCTGCACTGGGAATGGGAGTTGGATCCCAAGCCATTTTAACAAACAAATAATCATTCCCCAGAAAGAACTTGATCCGGTGTTAATGCCCTCCTGGCCATATGTCAAGATTTAGGTAAACACTTGGCAACCAGGGAAATCCTCCTGGCCACTGAGGTTCCCCCCCTCCAACTTGCACACCTCAATGGCTGGGAGTAATCCCTTTTGGCCTTTGAGAGTGTATAACTCTCAGCAACCAGGTGTAATTCCTCTTTTCCTCTGAGAGTATACAATTCTCAGCAACTTAGAGGGAACTAGCAGTTGCAGAGGGTGGTACACTCTCAGCAGCCAAGAGGAATTACTCCTGGTGGCTGAGAGTTGTACCAACGCTGCCACAGATACGATACGATACATGTATCACCAATACTGAGTATCGTATTTTTTTTCTGATACCAATTTTGAGAGAGACACTTCTTGTATTTGGTCCCAAATACGATACCATGTATCGTATCTAGTGGGCAATACATGGTATTTGTGTTTATTGGTATCATGTGATGATACTGATACGGGAGGAATACCGGATTTCCAGTATCAGATTTTTTTTATTTTTTGATAGCTATTTATGCAGTTTAATTTCTGGGCTAGGATTTAACTAAGACTATGGATCCTTGAGGATCTTTTGGGCAAAAAGGAAAAAAAAACATTTCTACTTCATGTGATGGGGGATTTTCTTCCCCTTTTGAAAGGCCTCCTCTTCATTTTCCTGGGTGATGATAGCCTGTGCAGTCTCAAAAGTTTCGTCCGGTTCAAATCCTTGGACCATCCATTGATGAGAACTTACACAACGTTCAATCGTACTTGCTTCAAGACTTCCTCGATTGCGACCACAAGTGTCAGCTG